CATGCTTATATTATTAATTTATAATTTTTTATTTTTGTATTTAAATGGTACCATTTATTTATTGTACCATATTTATTTTTTAATTTATTTGATAACACTTACCATTTTTAATTTAATTTAATTTAAATACCTAAATGGCGTAGCATTTAAATAAAAATGAAAACATACTTAAAATGGAAGAAAACAATTTAGGCAAAATAATTAAATAAAGTATAGATTATTATTATTATTATTATTATTATTATTATTATTATTATTATTACTGAAAATCAAATTTACATTTTCATCCCATTAAACTTATTTTATATTTATATGAGTGTTGAACATTTTATTATGCCTAAAAACTAAATTATAATTGAAATTTTAACTCAAATTTGGAATGACTGAATTATATATGTCAAGAGTGTTCTCAAATTTAGTAGTATCGCCAATAGGAATGTCACACCTGTTAAATTTTTTTGTATGGTAAATTATATATATATATATATATATATATATATATATATATAAAATAAAAATACTACTCAAAAATACCAAGTAAGTGGAATTCATATTTTTATATTATATTTCTATTTCCATGTATACTAATAGTGATAATATTTTCGTCCCATTAATGAATCAGTTTATATGTTTCCATATAATTTAATACATGCCCAATTAAATGGAGTATTATTCCATATATGTAGGCTTCCATTCAATTCCATAAATGAGGTCAATTTAAGTGTTTAAATATAATACTCTGTATTAAGCTAATTAATCATGAGTAATTATTAATGGTGGATTGCATATCACGTGCCAATCAACGGTGATTTGGGCATGTCACTTTGGGCGGGAAAATAAAAATCTAATTTCCCCTGCTTTTAAATAGTATATAGATTTTCAATTCAATTTATATATTTTAAAAGTATATCAAAAGTTTTATAAATTAAGAGATGACATGATTGTATTATTTTATCAAATAAATAACGAAAATAGAAAAACAAAGTGATTAAAATTTGACCATTTGAATAATGCATGGAAAGAAAATTTTAGGACGGATAAAGTTTAATTTTTTAATGCATAACATATAAATGAAATTGAAAAATATCAAACCGATAAATAATTAAAAAATTATATGAAGAGGGCAGACAAACGCTTCTAGTTAGTTTCTCGAATCCTTCACTTGACTATTATCATCATGATAAGACCCGTCAACTTCTTTTTTAGGAGAATCAAAGATAGTCAAAATGTTATTCTAGTTTACGATCATATCTACTAACTAACCTGTTAGCGATACTATTCTCTTCTCTTGTGACATGGATAGTTTACATGTTCCATTTCATGTGAATTAGACACTTTCATTTCTAGATTATATCTTGAATTGATCCTCTAATATCTCAGAGTGTATATGTTGTCAGCCATAAACTGTACTTTCTCTCTCTTAAAATCAAGACAATAAAAGTATATACTCTTAACAATAAGGGATGTTTGCCAACAAAAAATTATATTTTATTTTGGTCACTTACTTTGAGTGGCCAGAGAAGACATTGTCTCAATTGCAATATCTACCGTACTCTATATTCACAAAAAATGATCGTTACTCCTCCACTAACCTCCCTTAATAAACCCCTTCATCCCATCACAATCCAAACAATTTCCCCACTCACTCAATTACAAGATGCAAATTTAGTTGACTTTGGTTAAAATATTGACAATAAAGCCAATTAAATTTAACCCCACTATTGACTTAGGTGGTGGGACATGTTGGGATCGGGATAATGTGGGAGTTTATCAAGGGGACATAAATTATTAATTTTGCGAACAAAGCATCGTAGAATATCGACGTCCTTCTGGTCATTCAAGTGAGTTGTCATAGAACCTGTATGTTTTATTTATTTTAATATTGATTTTAATTTCAAAAATAAATTTTGTTTTAATTAATTTTTAAATATATTTACTTTGTACAAGTTTTCGGTTACACGCATCAGAACTCTCGAAAGCAGAAACTTCAATGGGAATCACATATAATATTAATTGAAGAAATCTCGTTATATTTATAAGCGCGCGCGCACGCGCGCACACACTAGTAAATTAGAATTATTCTTTTACTTTGTATTTTGTATGTATTAATGGTATATACCATAACTTTATATATATATATATATATATATATATATATATATATATATGTATGTATGTATGTATATGTATATGTATATGTATATATATCACGTATTTATTCATTTTTTAATTTTTGTTTGGTATGAGATTTGGCAATACAAATTAAAAGGTGACACATACTACCACTAGAAGAAAATGCTGAAAATAAGAGATGAGTTCACCAATATGCCCATAAATAGGAAATATAATACTGATGACATTTTATTTTCATTAAAACTCATATTTTTGGACTAAAGATATAAAACTTTTATTTTTATACATTTTTGTATGTTTTAATTCTTTTTTAGTCTTTTCTCTAAACTATTTTGACTTTCATTTTTTTTATATAAAAATTAGAAATATGAAAAAAATAATTTTTAAAATAAATAAAAATGAGAAAAAATTGTGTGTTAAAAGAAAAGGTGACAGGTCTTATATAAAGTTTGATTAATAAAACATTCTGTGTGTCTATTTTATCTATAATTTTTTAATATAGTTTAAGATATTGATGTTTTACTATGTTATAATGTAAATTAATATACACAAGAATTTTCTTATTCATATTTAAAAGGTTGAATAAAAAATAATAATGACTGTGAATCATAAAACTAGTGAGATAAAAAAAGAAAAACTTCACATCAATACTCTCAGAATTTCAATAGTTTACGTAAATACTCCAAAATTCAATAAATGATATCAATGCTCCTAAGTTTTTTCTATATTAACACGAGTATTCCAAGAATTGAAAGATGTTTATATCAATGTCACAACATTTGGAGCGCTGAAGTAAACATAATTAATTCTCAGAGCAATGAAGTAAATATAGGAAATTTTTGGAGTATTAGTGTCATTTAATGAATTTCGAAGTATTTATGTGAACTCTTCCAAAAAATAATTTATAATGATAATAATAATAATCGCGTTAAAAGTATATCATCTCTGATTGATTATCATAGCGGTCTTGGGCCTTTGCAGGCTGTTCACCCGCACAGGGCCCAAAGAAAAACAGGGCCCAATTTTTTGTTAAAGATTGTAGGATGAGTAAGATATATAATATGAGGCCCAAAATGGCAAAAAAAGAAACAGTTCTTCACACTTTAGCTGCCGGAAACGGAGCTAGGGAAACGAGGGAACCAACCGAAAGGCGGAGACAGAGGAAGAAGAGTTGCGTCATCTTCACTTCGGCCGGCTGCCCACCTTACCGCGACGCCGTACAACACTTCCGCATTCACTTCAGTCTTCCGGTATGAATATGTGATTTATTATGATTTATTGAATTTAATGATCGAATCCATAATTTTATTTGTCTTTTACATTTTTATATGTTGATGGATACCCAATATTTTCCTAGGGACTTGGATCGGCCCAGGTCCAAATACAGGTATCCGGGCCTTATAATATTGAAAGAATAATACGAGAATAGTAAGTAATAGTAATTGGGACACTGCTCACAAAACAAGAACTAAGACCGGCGGTCCTCTCCTTTATCCGGTCCTCTCAAGAACGGAATATGCTTAAGGATCGCCGGAATATCTTTTATTATTATTCAAGTATTTTCTCTCTCTATTACAAGATGATCCTTTCTCCTCTAGTCTCCCTTTCTTTTATAGGCACTTCCCTCCATTATTCCTTTCAATAATGGCAGTGGCCAGGGGGAGGTTCCTGCCAGCCTGCATCCTCTGGGAGGAATGTATCTCCACTTGAGGCCATCCACTGGAGGACAAAGCCTTCTGTCCATCTCTTGCTCCCTGTCCTTCGTCCGTCTCTTTCTCCTCGTCCCTGTTCCTTCAAGTGAAAGGGGGGACTCCCCAAACTCCTCATAGGATTCCTCTCTTCGTGGGTAGCTCACCCTTAATGGGCTGGCTTCAGCCCATTCTTAAGCCCCACTTCTCTTCCTTTTCCTATCTTTCTTTACGGACAGCCTTCCTTTGACCGGCCCGGTATATTTTATCTGGGTCGGACACTCCTTTTGATGGACGGGGTCCCGATTGGGCTTAGGCCCAATTCGCCACATTCCTCTCGATGGGCTTGGTTCCCATCACATGCCCCTTTTTTTACAAGTCAAAAAATAAAATTTTTTGACTGTAGTCTTCCTTGCATGCCTTATTGGGAAAGTTTTTTTTTGTTTGTTAAAGAATTTCTTTTTTTTTTTTGGGGGGGGGGGGACCCCAAAATTCAATTTGTATTCACCCCAGGTGACATCTCCCATGGATGAATAATTGAGTGAGTGGAGTACACGCGGCACGCTCCCATTGGACCGTAGTGTTGTAGGTCTGTCCTTCTGCTGTCTGGCCATGCGAGCAGTCCCTGAACATCAATAATGATGGATTGTTGACAGAGGAATAGATTGGGCGTGGACTGCGTGTACGGGAAAAACACATTTAGGGAATGGACCATTGGGAGTCCGTGCCACTTTAAATATCCATGGCCTACATTCCCAAACGTTACAACCCCTTTTGACCGGTTCCTCTGATTCCCTTAACTGCTGCACTGGACCGTTCGACTGCGTACAATTCAAGGTCCCTACCCATCTATGATTGTGGGACTGTAACAGAAAAAAGGAAAGCAACAGAGGACCGCAGATCTGGGAAATCGGCAGAGTGGACCGTTTGGAATTAGTACTCCTGACCCGAGTCCAAGGTTGCAATTCCCTTTTCCATGTGTCCCTTCACTGCCATTGGACCGTTTCGGAACAGGTGCCGTTCAAATTCTTGCCGTTGCAAAGGAGAATTGAGGGAGGACCGTTTCTTCTTCCTCTTCTCTTTCTCTATAAAACCGGTCCCTCTCCCCTCTCCTTCCTCACGTTTACACACAACTCTCCACTTCCCTTGCTCTTATCCCTGCCGAATTACCCTCTCTCCTTCCCAAGACTTTCACTCTCTCACCATGAAGAAGACCATCTCCAAGGTCTCCAAGATCTTCAACGGCAGCAAAAAGCCTAAGGAGGATGAGAGTGTCTCTTCCATCACCCCTGCGCAATTGGGGGAGATGAGGGGAGTCATTCCTCCTGATTATGGCGTCCAGGAAGCCGTGGGTATTACTTTGGAGCGCAATCCTGACATTTCCCGCCGACTGGTCATCCACTATGACTCGGTTAGGATGGGATGCCGCTTTCCTCTCCATCCCCTCTTGATCGAACTTTGCAACCGCTACGCCATACCTCCCGGTCAGATTTCCTCGAACTCCCACGAGAGTCTTTTTGGCTTCTTGGCGCGGTGTCACAAGAGAGGCATCCAACCCACTCTGAAGCTCTTCCTCTCTTTCTTCCGTCCACATAAATATGACAGTGAGTTGGGCCGGGGATACGTGAGTTTCACGGCCCGGACCGATAAGCAGTTTTTGGACGGCCCTGTTGACAAACTTGATGACTGGTTCCGGCGCTTCTTCGTGGTGGTAGTCCCGGAGAACCTCCCCTTCCCCAATGTGTGGCGAAAGAAGGAAGATAAATTTCCTTCTCATACCTTTCCTCCGCGTGACTCGGAGCTTGATGGGATCTACCGTCTCCTTCTCAAGAACGGCTATCCGGTTCCCCGAGCGCTTCTCTTCAAGGATTCAAATCTCCGGGGTCTCGGATATTGGGTGTCCCCTGATACTCCTCTTCAAGAGCCGTCGGGAAACACAACTTCCTCTTGGGTTCCTCCTTTCAGGAGCACCCGACTCCGCCGGCGATCTTCTCGAAGGGATCCTTCCCCGGAGGAGGACACCGAGGGCGAAGAGGCTGGATCCGTGACCGGGACCCAACCTGTGCTACTTGCCGACCACCCTCATCTTTCGAAAGAGGTGGCAGTCGAGGAAGTTTCTGACGACGACGGCCTCTACGACTTCCCTCCCGGGACCTTGAGGGGGTCCGGTCTTATCCCCGGTGTTCCCCATACTCCTCTTTTTGGCAGGGGGGCCCCTCCTTCTGCCCAGTTCATGGGCCCGTTGGGTTCCCATCCTCAACTCACTGGGACCTTTCCCATTGGGCGCACCACTGGTTCACAGGGTGTTAGAATAAGTGACCAACGCTAGAGGGGGGGTGAATAGCGTTTGATCGTAGAAATCGCAGGAATAAAAAATTAAGAACGTGAAAAGTAAAGAGCGTAGAAAGCGTAAAGGGAGCACACCAAGATTTATACTGGTTCACCACAATGTGTGGCTAATCCAGTCTCCCGAGAGACTCTCTCGAGCTACACTACTTCCGTTAAGCTTACGGGTGCTTAACAAACCGTTACAACCTGAGAACTCGAGTCCCACGAGCCTCAACAACCTTGCTCGGAGATACCGCACTACAAGACTTCAACCCGAAGGAAAATACCTTTCCTTCGTACAACCAAGGGAAACAAGCTTCCCTTAACGTGAATACAACACTAAGACACTCAAGAACAAGGCTCTCCTTAAGAGTAGATATTGAGTAAACTATATACGCTCAAGAACAACTCAAACTTCACAAATTGGCTCTAGAAAGCTATGAAAAATGATGTTGTTTGAATGCAATGATAATATGAATATTGTGAAGTGAATTGATGAGAAAAGCAAACCCAAACACCCCTTTTTATAGTGCAAAATTAGGCTCCAACGGACCAATACATTAATGGGGTGATTAGCTTGATTTATGGGATTGAAAAAATTTGGGATCTGCAGAATATTGGCTTCTCATCGATGTTTAGACTCAACCATCGCTGGTAAGCCAATTTTCCTTCAGTTTTGAAGTCAACGGTCGCCTACCCATCGATGGGTACAAGCTTCCCATCGCTGGGTGGGAGGTTGACTTCCAAACAAGGAAAGAATCAACCTTTAATGACCACCAACGGTCATGCCTTCCCATCGATGGTATACCCTTACCATCGCTGGGTTCCCATCGATGGGACAGGTTTCCCATCGCTGGGCAAGGTCGTTCTGCCTTGTGTTAATTTTGCACCAAGGCTTGAACAGCGATGGGTAGAACTTCCCATCGCTGTTTGGCATGGTTCTGGAAATTTGTTTGGCTAAGGGACCGCTTACCCATCGATGGGAAGATCTTCCCATCGCTGGGTGGGTGGTTAGTCAGGAACCCATGGTTTTTGCCTTAACCACGGCCTAGCCAACCGATGCGAAAACCGACCGAAAAATTCAAAGTTCTCCAAAATAAAAACCAAGTGTTTAGAATACTT